AGGTATGTCCCAAGATAAAAAAAAAGTCAAAAGAAGGCTTGGGACATAGTTCAGTGGTAAAGTACTTGGCCAGCAAACAACAGGACCTGGATTCAACCCTGAGGACCACAAAAGAAGTCTCAACAGACTTGAAGAAAAACTGATACAGCCAAGTGGACCTAAGAACTAGGTCAGCTTCCATTGGAGTGGTTGATAACTGCATTGTCATGGCAACGGTAGTCACTGCTTCCCATCTCCCCAGGAGATGCATGGGCTTCTGCCTCCTCTTTAGACTACGCATCTAGCAACCCAGAGACCTGAAGGACAAGATGCACAAGGATGAGAATCAGAAAGGCCTGGGTTATTAAATAAGACTTACCCACAGTCAGGAGTCAGTTACAAGGATAGCAAATACCTGGAAAAGCACATATTAAAACAAAAAACCTAACGTAGTTGCTATGTTTTCAGTTATGAAACTATCTAGGTTTTTGTGACCTATTAGTTACGGGTACTTAGCTGCGTTAACAGAAACTCCTAAGAGGGAAGGGATGAATTCAGATCACAGTTTTCCCTGTCTTCACACTGAATCTCTGCCATTTCTCTCTTCAAAGCACTTTAAAGCCGAGAAAGAAATGTCTATGGAGACTTCAGCTGTCATTGAGCTCTTGTCTCCTTTGAAAATAATGTCATCACCTACTGCCACCTCGGAGGTGAGGCATCAGAGCTAGTGTAATTCAGGAGATAGTGTCTTGCTGTAACAACATAATTGTTGAATTCAGGGTAAAGGTGTATGTTAGGAGAGATTATACAAGATGTCTCTGGAGACAGAATGATGGCTCTGATGTCCACTACAACCTCTCTTCTGTAGACATGAAACGAGACAGCAATGCCTGCACTGCTTTGGGCTAGTCATGTGTCACCAGAAATCATATGACTATTGACAGTGACAGGGACAGCATTGCTTAAGAAGTCTGCAGGTTTCAACTGACCCCCCACCCACCCCCAGATCACATATCAAAATAACTTATCTTCTGCACAGAGACTCCTGCATTTAAGAGGTACAGATCACGGAGCAGATGGCTAACTTCAAATGCCACTCTGCTGAGGATGTGGCCAATTTAACATCCACCCAAGTGTTCCACTCTAAGATGTGTTTGAGAATCATTGAGGCCAAGGCATGCTTTCTCAGTGAGGGGTTTGGCATCTTAAAAAAGGCAGACCCAAGGGCAGCCTAGCTGGGGCCTGGAGCTAGCCTAGGGTACCACAGGTGGGCAGCCAGTATTTGAAAGGGAAGGAAAGGCCACACCTACTCACACTGATCAAGACTGACAGCTCAACCACAGTTTGACTCCCAGCCGTATCATAACATTTGTCCCTGGAAAAAGGACAGATGGTCTGGTGGTTTGAATGAAAATGTCCCCCCAATAGGCTTAGAGGGAGTGGCGCGATGAGGAGGCGTGGCCTTGTTGGAGGAAGTGTGTCACTGGGGGCGGGGATGGGCTCTGAGGTTTCAGATGCTGAAGCTGAGGCCAGTGTCTCTCTTTTCCTGCTGCCTAGGGACCCAGATGCAGAACTCTTACCTCCTCTAGCATCTGCCTGCCTGCCTGCCACCAAGCTACCTGGCACGATGAAACAGACTAGCCCTCTGAAATGTTAAATTAAATGTTTTCCTCTATAAGAGTTGCCATGGTCTTAGTGGAAACCCAGAGACAAAAGGGTTCGCTGCTAACATGCGTCTCAGTTCTAAGGCATAGACTCCCCCAGCTCACTCCCCCTCCCACCAGCACACTGCTGGGTGCCAGCACACAGAGTAATTTTGAAAGAACACCCTTTCACTCCACAGATGACATATTTGTGGAGTGCCCAACACAGCACCAACTTGGGGCCCCATTCTTTCTGTAGATCGCGAGGGGCAAGGGAGTGTTTTAGCCTGCAACTCACATAATGTAGCTTGAACTTGCACTCATCTTCAATTTCATCCGCACTGTCCTCATCAGAGACTTCTCCTTCCTCTGCATCATCCCCGAGGTGGTAAGGCAACTTCTTGCCCTGAAACAGATCAAAACATCCCACTTGAAAATGAAAATAAATTCTCAAGAGCCCCAAAGCAGAGGTAAACCAGATGTCCGCTGACAGGTGAATAGACAAAGAAAAAAAATCTGCTCTTTTCACATGGAATATTACTCAGCTTTTTAAAAGAACAAAGCCCCAGTACACGTTACAATGTAAGCAAATCTTGAAGGCGTTATGCCAGATGGCATATGCCAAGGAAAAACTTTGCATATGGTACCCAGACAGCAAAACCAGACACAGAAAGCAGAATGGCGATGGGGACAGGTAGCAGGAGGCAAATGGCTGTGGCTGAATGGATATGGATGAAAACATTTCATGTATTTGTAACAATACCCAACTACACACTTAAGCAACTAAGGGGTGAGGTATATTTTCTGCTCTGTGAACCATCATTTTTTAAATAGGGAAAATTGAATACAAAACCAAGTGTCTGTGCAACGACCTATCATTACTTCAAACCAACTGGAAGGCAGACAGTCTGGAGGAAAGACAAAATAAAGATGGGAAGAACTTTTATCCTAAGGCTGTCGTTACCTTAAATCTAACGAATTAATACTACTGTATCTTTAAAAATCACACGGATGCCGTTCTCTTTTTAAAGGGTCTGACTCCCAACAATACGCATCATGCCACCTGACTGTGCGACTTCCACAATCTGAGTCCTGGTGTCCCCTCAGATGCTGCAACCTATGCTATGGGTGCTGTGGCTGATGTCATGAAGAAATCGGGCCTCTGGGAAGTGATTAAATGACGAAGGGGTCCCCTAAGTTCCTTGCCGCTTCCACCATGGAAATAACCTATGAGGAGCAGACCCTCCTTCACCAGACACTAAACATGCCAGCCTGGCTCACAACTACAATCCTAATACTTGAGGGGTTGACAAAGGAAGACTGAGCTGAGTTTGAGACCATCCCGGAGACCAGCCTGGCTATATAGTGGAGTTCCAGGAGAGCCTAGACTACAGAGTGAGTCAGGGAGTAGGAGAAGGAGGGAGGGAGGGAGGGAGGGAGGGAGGGAGGGAGGGAGGGAGGGAGGGAGGGAGGGAGGGAGGGAGGGAGGGAGGGAGGAGGGAGGAGAGAGGTAGGGAGGAAGGAAGAAGGAAGGAAGGAAGGAAGGAAGGAAGGAAGGAAGGAAGGAAGGAAGGGGGAGAGAGGTAGGGGAGGGGAAGAGAAAGAGTCTTCCCAGAACCTGGATGTTAGGCTTTTCAGCCTCTAGACTAGAAAAATAAACATCTTTTAAAGTTACCCAGACTAAGACACTTTGTTTTCGCAGCCCAAAGACACTGTAGCCCCAGAGCAGCCTGCTGCCCTCAGAGCGTAAAGTTGCCCTCCGCAGGGGCCTGCTGGTGCCTGTGCGTCGAGTCCTGCTTTCAAAGGCCACTATGCAGCCTACGCAACAGTCCTCAGGACCAGGTCACTCTCCAGTCAGCAGTCCATTTCAGAAACCAGGGACCCGCCACAGGGGAATACTCCCATATGACGGGAAGAGATTTGAGCTACACCATTACATTTATAATCTGGGCTACGGTATTACATGCACCCTCAGGCATCCGTGAGAGACTGGTTCTGCCCACACCTTCCCTACAGCATGTTGTGGGAGCAACCCAAATGCCCTCTTACTATTCCTTTCTGCTCTCAGGCCAGAAGCTACCAATGTGGTTAGCTATCTCGGAGCTCTCTCTCTTATCAGACCGCTCGGCGATGCCTTCTTCTTGGCTCTTTTCCTCTTTCTGAATATAAATTGGGAAATAGAGAAGGGGGGGGCAAAACCCATAGAAGCACTTACTCTTAAAACCTTCTTTTGTGTGTGTGTGTGTGTATGCATGTGCACACATGTGTACATCTGTCTGTGTGTGTATGTGTGTATGCATGTGCACACATATGTGTACATGTGTGTGTGTGTATGTGTGTGAGTGCACACGCACGCACGCCTGGGGGACACAGGTAGGGGAGAGAGGACAGCCACAAGAGTCAGCGCTAGCTTTCCACCTTGTTTGAGGCAGCCCTGTGAGTGTCTGGGTGTTCTGTCTCACCTCCCATCTTGCTGGTGAAGCCCTGACATGACAGACACAAGCTAATGACACGCCCTGCTTTGCATGGCTTCCGGGGGCCCCAAGTCAGGTCCTCATGCTTCAGTAAGCGTTTTACCCCCGAGCCTCTCCCCAGACCTGGATACTTATTAACAATTGACTGTCTCTACTTCCAGGTTATTCTCCGGTGATCTTACAGGTCACCGGGATCTATTGGGGACAGACCGTCCGTCTCTTGTGTCTGGACTGAACCTGTACCGGTTTCTTTCCCTTAGTGGCTGAGGCTGGCTGTTGTGGTGGGCAGTCTTCAAAATATATATCACCAAAGTCTCTGTCCTGCCGCAATACTCTCTTTCTTGAATGCGGGCCGGACTTAGTTACCACTTCTAAACACGGAGAACACAGGAAAACCAATAGAGTCCAATACCTGTACCTACCTTCCTGTTTATCCTTCCGTATCCATCCGTCTCTCCCCCCTCCCTTCCTTCCTCCCTCCCTCAAGCTATTAAGCATAAAGAACCATGCAGCAAAGAACTAGAAGCCTCTAGTCAAACATCCTGCCAGAGCACGCCAGCCACTGCTGCCAGCTGATCCCAGAAGGACATCTTCCTCTCCCTGGACTGTCCCTGGTCTGCCCTGAGGTGACTTCAGTCCCACCTGACACCGTCACAGCAGCTTGGTGCAGAAAACCCAGCAGGGACTAGGTGATAATGTCTGCTACTTCAAGTTGCCAGATTTGGGGGCAATTTGCTTGGCAGCCATAGACACCTAATATACTCACAAATAGAGTCCTGGGCAGAAGTAATTCAGTGAAAATACCTTTTACAAAGCAATAAGGGGACAGAGATCATTGCCTATAACCTCACCATGCATACAGTGGCCTAAGGAACTGTTGGCAGAAAGGCCACCATTGGCCCCTTCCCTCGGCAGGACGGGCTCAGTTTGGCCCCCTTCCCCTGCTTCTTCAATACCAGAGGAAGGTTCCCCTGATGGGTCATTTGTAAACAGGGTGCACCCCTACTTTTAAGAAAGGCTGAAAAATCAAATATCTAGCATTTTTTAACTCAAAACAGAGATAGAAAAAAATTTAAGTACAGAATGAACTTCGTAACTGATTTGTGCACACAAATGCTTTTTCAGATTTTGAGAGGGAGCTCACCTGCTGTCCTTGTCCCAAACGCTCCTGAACACCCAAAGCCCTCGACCCTAGACTTCAGCACAGTGATAACTTCAAATTAATTATATAATCATGTAATAAATGCAAAGTTTTCATCCAGATAAAGTTTTTTAGGATCTGGAGACTTAAATATGTTCTTTAACTTACAGAATGGCCTCTCTGAGACAGACGTAGTTGAAATGAATTTGTGCGTTGTTTTAGACAGGATCTTATATATTACAGGCTGGCCTTGAACTCACTTTGTAGTTGTAGATGACCTTAAAATTACTCATCCTCCTGCCTCCACTCCTTAGTACAGGAATTTCGGGTGTACATCACCAAGCCCAGTTCAGGCGGTGACAGGAATTGATCCAAGGGTTTCACACATGCTGGGCAAGCATTCCACTAAGACACACACACACACACACACACACACACACACACACACTCAGGTCTAGAAATGGAATGTTCAAATATATAAATATGGTTTTAGGCATTATCTATGCAGAAAGCTCCCAGAATATGATCTCATTTTTCCTATTCTTAAGACAATATTTGTAGAGCTGTTATGGTGGCCAGATGCACTCAACAACTATCATAGACACAATGATGTCAGTATCTTTCATGCGTTCACCACCAACCAGTCACTCAGAGTCAACTTTTTGCAGAGGACAATGACAGATACCAAGGTAGACCTGTGCACAGACATTTAAATGCCCAGACAGCAGGGTTGTTTTTTAATATATAAATAGCATCAAAAACAAATTCATTAAAATAATGTTCGATGGGACAAAACTAATAAACACAAAAGCATCACCCAGTTAAGAATAACTGCTCTTGAACGATGCAGTTTGGTTCCAGCTCCAGAGGATGGATGGGTACCATGGCAGCCAGGCATGAGGAGGGCAGCAGTACAGTCTTCAGTTCCCCTTTGTTTCAGGGTGGGCGGGGATGAAGGAATAAAACCAAAAGAATACCCACTAGAGGAGCTCATTGCTTTTTTGGGGGTGCGGGGTGTATTTAGAAGACGCTGCATGCTGGCACCCATATTTTCCGCCAGCTTTCCCACATTCCTTGGTTCACAAACATACCTTATCCAGGAAGGAAGAAAAGCTTTGCAAAAGAGCAGTGCTGGTTTGATTTGTTTTTTGAGGCAAGACCTTGCTCTCCGCAGCCCAGCCAGGGTCTCAGGTTGCAGTCCCCCTGCCTCTGCCTCCCAAGTACTGGAGTTACAAGCATGCCCTAACGTGCCCTGCCAAGAGCGCTGCCTTAACATGTTTTGCTAACGGCTACCGGTGGAGAGAGGTAAAGGACATGACTAGAACCTTATCTGGCTTGAGCCTGCAGGCCCTGTGTGTGTGTTGTCACAGACTCTGTGAGCTTTATACGCGCATCAGCCCTGCTGTGCCTGAGAGACGCTGTTCCGTTGGCGTCATCCATCCCCTGTGTCTCCTACAATCTTTCCAATTCCTCTTCATTACAGAACCCTGAGCCCTGAGGAGGGGAGAGGCCTGATGAGTACATCCCAGTTAGGACCGAGTGCTCCAACTCTCCCGGCACACTGTCCAGGCATGGGTTTCTGTGTTAGTTCCTGTCTACTGCAAGGAGTTGGTTCAGTGATGGCTGAATAGGGTCCAAGTGCTGAGAGGAGGAACTGGACATGTGTCCCTGCCACCAATCAAGAAGCTATCTACAACCGACCCCCTGTGAGAAAGGAATAAATAATTTGGGATAGGCTCCATGCCCAGGAATAATTGGTCAACACAAAATGAACTCAATGGGTTTTTGTAGACTTTTCATCTCATATTTCTTTGCTCGGGCAATTTTTTACCTACTTGATCTTTTACTCAGCCTATTTTGGCTTCTGTTTTCATGGAGAAATGCATGTATGCATGTATGTATTTGTTTTGAGAGAGGGTCTTTCTACTTAGCTCTGGCTGTCTTAGAACTCACTATGTAGACAAGGCTGTCCTGGAACTCACTATGTAGACAAGGCTGTCCTGGAACTTACAGATATCTGCTTGCCTCTGCTTCCTGAGGGCCACGACACCTTTGCCTGTTTGGTTTTTTTTTAAGAGAGAGATAAACGATAGCCTCCAAAACAATACAGAGAAACCCTGTCTCGTAAAAACCAAAAAGAGAGAGAGAGAGAGAGAGAGAGAGAGAGAGAGAGAGAGATAAAAAGGGTTTGTAGTTGAGGACCTGGGAGGAATTTATGGGGGCATGTTAAGAATATATTGTTATGAAAAAAATCCAGTTATAAAACATCAAAGCATAAAAAAAGAATAAAATTAGGTGAAATCTTGTGTGGGGTCAATAAATTCAGAGTATATGTAAAGGAAGGATGATCCAGGTGACTTCTGGGAGTTGTTTTCTGGTCTGCATACTATTTGTTACACTCTAAGCTTGGGTTGGTTCATAATGGGATATGGAAATATTACTGGATACCTCTCAGCTTCAAACTATCTGCTGTGGGACCCAGGGCAATAGTAACACTCCTCTGATCCCTCCTGTAAAAATAGGAACCTCAGAGCAAAGAACAACCCCTGCTTTCAGCAATAACAGCTGGGGGAAAGCTGTCAAATATATTATATTTGTTCAAAAGCAACTTTCTGCTTATTTTATAGGAACACACACATTCCTTATAGATAGAACTGTTTCTATTCTTCTGGTGCCAACCTTCAGAGTGCTAAGTAGGCTTTCTCATGTTGCCTTTGGGCTGGAGACAATTCTGCCAGAGTAGCATTGCTTTTGATTTAAGTGGGAACATGCCGGAACACATCAGTCAATCTTCAAATTTTATCCAATTTTATATCCATTCATTACTTTTTTTTTTCAGACAGAAGATAGCACAGGCTGCCTTCAATGTGGGTCTTACTGCCTCTGCCTCCTGAGAGCTGGGAGTAAAGACATGTGCCACCATGCCCAGATTTTCCCTTAACTTCTAAGAATTTGGGATGCCCATAGCTCATACTGCTGCCACTCCTACCAAAGACAGCCTCAGACCTTCTTACCTAATTCATTCTAGTACCCGTTAGCCATGGGACACTGAATACCCATCTTAATTTCCACTGTTCGGAAAACAAGATTTTTTTTGAGACACTGTCTCACTATATGGCTCTGACCTCCAATTCACAGAGATCTGCCTACCTCTGCCTCCCATGTGCTGGGATTAAAAGAATGCGACACTGTGCCCAGCCAAAAGGAAAGATTTTAATCAAAGGGCCTCAGTCTACATTTAATTTCCTGATAGTTGGGTAAGGAATGTGAGGCATTTGCAATATTACGAAGATATCACTTCGAGTTTGGACGCGGAAATGAGTTTTTAGCACAGCAGTTACCTCTGGCCAGACTTGGGCAAGCTGACCTTCATATTACCTGTCATGTTATTAGGAACTTTTATTAAAAATGCACTTACACAAAAGCCTGACAGCATCTGTCTGGTGGAATCTGGGTCTACACTTGTGATTTAATTGTTAGAAAAGCGGGTTTTGACAACTCTAAAGATTTCATTGTGTTTCCTCACTTCTACCCTACGATGGGCTCTCACGTTACCTCTCCTCCACGGCACATATGCCTCTTAAAGATTTTATCATCTTTCCTAGAGTTCTACCCTACGATGGGCTCTCACGTTACCTCTTTTCCACGGCACACATCCCTCTTAAGCAGCCTAGTCTACTGCCGTGTTCTTTATCTTTTTAAACTCTAAACAAAGCAACCATCCAAGGTTTTAGTCTCACTGGAGATATGTGAAATCTCAAAACTGGAATCTGAGAGCTCAAGGAACTGTCTCTCTGACCACTGTTTGCATTAATAATATTCACTATAGTTCTCTCCCTTAGAGAATCTGTTGATGAAATGTCATTCTGCTCTCCCCCTCTCTCTCACACACACAGGTCCTGAGGGGCATTATGTCGGTGCCCATGTTCCTGTTTGAAGTGAGTGCTTCTCACACAGATAACCAAGACCAACCAACCATGAAGATGGTTTTTTTTTTCTTTTGACAGACAGTTACTGGAGCTTGAAATGGGAGAAAAGAATCTAAACTGCGCGCCCTCAGACATGGAGTCAGGGAGCTTTCTCCTCTCTTGGGCCTGGCTTTGCCACACACACACACACACACACACACACACACACACACACACACACACACCTCTCTGCAGGAGCTCGCTCAGACTAAAATAGCCTGCCCAGCATGGACAGCCGGCAAAACACACCCACAGCATCCGATCAGCCGTTAGCTCGCCTCTGAAAGTGTGTCTGCACGTTAACGTAAGACGCATAGACAGACACCTTTCCCGGGCATTGATTCTGATCATTTTCCTACTTCTTTCTCCAATGGGTTTATCTATCTTTCATCAACGAGGAGGAAAGACTTAGTTGAGCATTGATGTCTGGCCTGGAACCCTGACGTGATTACCTTCACTAGGATTTTGCCTTTCAGACTCTGGGGGCTTGGAAGTTGCCTGCACTCTCCTGTGTCCACGGATGACAGGTCCAGTTTGTCCTGGAATATTCCTTTCAGGTACTGAGCGATCTTCCTCTGCTGCTGAAGACTGCAGTGGTTCTCAATAGACAGGATAACTGGAAACCTGAGGAAACAGTACCAAGGGCGTTCAGTGCAGCCGGCTCACAGGGATTGTAGAAACCTGGAAATAGAATCTGTGTGCATTGCATCCTTAAAATCCCAGCCACTTAATGGACAATACTGACAATGATTAAAATGATAGTAAAATGAGAAAGATTAAGAATGCACTGAAAAA